GACAATCAAGCGCCGCCGCAAAGAGATGCTCGAATTGTAGAAGGCAGGAGGAGTGTGAGGAGTGGAGTGGTTTGGAGACCACGGCGAGAGGAAACAGTCCCTCCCTTCCGTGCGGCCGACCCTGTTTTGTTTTTTTTAGTTGCCGGAGACAAAAGACCACAGCGTTGGTTGGAGAGGCGGGGGGGCGAGTGGGGGAGGTAACGAAAGTTGCCGCGTGTTTTTGTTCAGTTTCAGGGACACGAGACTACAGCGTTGGTTGGCGAGGCGCGGGGGGGGGGGGGCTTGTTGGGGAAATGGTGGAAGTTGCCCCAGCGCTATACAATGCCCCCCCGACCCTCTGTCGTCCGAGAAGCCAGTCAGTCTGTCGTTCGGCAAGTCTTTCAACAGTGGTCCGTGGGAAAGATGTCGTTACGAAGGCAGACAGATCGACAGCAGTTGGTATCCATGAGAGCAGCAGCCCCTGCGGTTGTCAATGTGTGTTGCTGAGCACGGAGCGTTCTCTCGTTGGGACCGAACGGCAGATCCGGTAGAAGTTAATGCCAATTTGTTTGGATATTGTTATGTCAAAGGAACGCTAACCTTGGGACCTGGATGACCAACAGCCCCCGGTGCGGGAGTGCGTGTATGTGTATTCCGTAACAGACAGGTTGCATGATGTAACGTATCACACGCCCGGACCGATTTTTCAAAGCTCGACTACCTCGGCGGGAAAGCAGTGACTGCTGTGCCGGAAATGGCGGCGTTGGAACTATGTCGTCGTGAGCAATCCGAAAATGTATCATTTTGATTTCAGCATCCTCTTTGTCGTGGGACAATAGAGCTTTGAAATCCGGTCCAGGGGGTGGGGGTATCTTTTCAACCCTTGGTGAATCGGGGTGTCGAGAGATGTCACTGATCCCAAACCGTGCGCGAATCACAATATTTGAGTTGTTTAATCACGACAGTTCTTCGAGGACGCAAGCTGGCAACCACTTCGTTCGGCTGTCTGTTTTCATTTTGGCGGGTAGAACCAGACCAGCAGTAACGGCTATGGACCCCTCCGACGAAGTAGTCCCACTAGTTGGGGGACAACGTCACCGGTTCGTTTGGAGGAGTCCCATACCTGCGCGCGTGTTGGTCGACGAAACCTGAAGTGACACACATCGCCTGACGGTATCGGTCGTCTTTCCTCGTGGTACGGTTGACGCTTCCCCCCACACGTTGGCCGCGCGTAGGTGGGGGAAACATAATCCCACGCGAGGTCTCGTATCTCTCCACGTGGGCAGCACCGTGGCGTAATCCCCCACTAAGATATTCCACAACCACCTGGATCATTCGATTCACTTCTCTCTGTCTCTCTGTCTCTCTCTCTCTGTGTTTCTCTCTCTCTGTCTCTCTCTCTGTGTCTCTCTCTCCCTCGGTCTCGTCTATTCCCTCCCCCTCTCGACGTAAAGGGATTTGGCTCGCACCTGGTACACAAGATTCGAGAGTGGAACCAAGGTACCCTGGCACTCGGCATCACCCCCTTCCTCTACGTGTATTTTGGGAATAATATGTCTCGCTAAAGGGACCTCGCAGCATGGCCCTGAGACAGGCGGCGGAATACACGTAGTGGCTGTCTGCGGCAATAGAAGAGTTTCTTGGTCGCTATGAACAAAATGTGGACAGAACCCACCGCAAACTCTATCGGCGCAGCAAAGTGGTTCTTTGCACTCTCAGGCGAACATTCAAACCATTTCTTGATGCGCTCTATGACAGTACGCCTCTTGAATAGGCTGTTTCCTCGTTAGCCCTCTTGAAATTTTACTGCTGCAACAAGTCGCAGTAAATAATGACTACTGTAGGGCGAAATTCCTCTCGATCCTTCTTCGTGGTGGCAATCCAAGAGCCTCCACCTCGGCAGCCGCGGGAATGTTGGCCGCATGCTTGGTCCGCAAAAAATCGAAAACAATATCCAAATATATCTCTCTACCCTATCGCTCTATCAATGTAGCTCTCTACTCCTTTTCGGCGTTTTTACTATGCCCGGGAGCTCTGCAGCCTTGCCGTTGTTGTCAACGTCTGCGACTGCCGGCGGTCGCGGGCCATCTCCGCGAGGCGCTGGCGGGTGCGAAAGTCGCGGGCGCGAGCAGAGCGCTCTCGGACCTGGGTGGTCGTATCACCGATGCGAATCGGGGCGGGTTTACTCGTTGTCATGAAGGGCCAAAGGATTCAGTCAGACCGTAGGCCCCACTTGACACCCCTCTAGAATCAACGACGGAAGGAGCAAGTGGAGAGTGTGGGATTGACGCCCGACAGGGTGGCATGTACCAACCACCAGGCCAGCTGTCTGGCCATAGTCTCAAAACGAAGACCCCCGTCGAAATATTCCTTCTAGGGCTACACCAGTGCATTTAACACAGCGGGGTATTGTGCGCGCCGTCGACCTTCCACCTGACCATCAAAAGATGGAAGCTATGGAGGCACTTCACGAAATGATTGGCCGTAGCTGGTTTTTAGAGAACTGCACGAAGGGTGGCCTGTGTCCTACGCACAAGTGACGGAGGCTCTTCTAGGGCAAAACGTCGAGAGGCGCCACGTACAAAAGTCAGAGCGTACCTTTTGTAGCTTCCCCAAACTTTTGGTGGATGTTTTTCAACCGTCGGGAAGGACGAACAACACAGTGTGGGATACTTGCCGAAGGAGATCGACATGTAAACCAAGAGAACTTTCGACGATAATTTCAACGACCAAACAACAACTGAAGAGGGGTTAAACCGCGTCTGAAGGTAATCCACCCCTTGGTGGCTGGGCGGCATACAACGACGAGAACCCAAGCGTCTTTCCAAAGTTTCTCGGGGCGTGGTAGATCTCTCACCTGAGAAGACATGACACTCGTCACCGGGAACGACTCCCAGGCATTAGTAAGGAAGCGGTCCTGGAAGCAGGAGGGAAGAGAGAAAGGTAATATACTGAATGCCTCAGCCGTTCGGTAATCCACGACGACCGGATCTTGTAAGATGCAGAGTATAGAGATCCTTACATCGCCACTTGAGTTCTCTTCCAAGCAAGCTGCTATCATACAAGCAGCGCTATCCTCCATCACGCGTGGTTTCCAACCCACAACAACCGGTGCTGATGAGGTTCTACATTGCGTCGTAGCCCCTTCGCCATACCCGCCGGGACGTATGCTGAAGAAATCATTCCGAAAATCTGCAGCCCGCTGTGGCCTCGATCACCACAATCCTCTAACTAGCCGTTCCCCAGGGCGTGTGATGCACTTCTAGGTGAGATGCCGACATCACGCTCTGAAACAGCACGGGAGCTGTGATACAGCTTACGGCAACCCCTCATGTTGGTTTCGACAGCACGGTTGCCCGTGGATTGCTCTCTAGTTTGTACACACGGGTCCGAAAGAAAGAAGCGAAGTTGAATATTTATCTGTGCAACAATAAGACAATTTCAACCTGGCATATATCAATAAGGCAGTCGAACGGAGTTCAAACCCAAAGGAATCCACTATTCATAGAGTATTTCGGGCATGCATACTGTTTTGCACCTGCCGCAGGGTATCCGCGTGATGGCTGTCTCGGACGTGACCGAAGAGCAAGTCGAAAGAAACGCCCTCGCGATTCTTGTCCTTGATATCCTGAAGTTATTGGACAATGATTTCGAAACGGAAGAAGGTTATGCGATTCAGTTCGTCACTTTTGCACCCCCGCCGATGCGGTTTTAACTGCAACAACCTACAGATTGAACTGCCTGCAGAAACGTGAGGAGTCAGGACGCTGCCTTTGTTCAATATATTTAAGTGACGGCATTGTGAAGGTTGTTGTTGTTTGTCTAGACAAAGTAGCTGTTCCAGACCTCTGCGACCTGCCGCAGGTTCTTCCAAACGGTTCAAACAGATAATTCCTCTGTATCAACTATCGAAGGAGAAAGTAGGCTACCAAGAAGAAAGGAGTCCCAGCAAATATCCTCCTCGGAACAACTAGCATTTTTTTCAACTACCACCAGCTAAAGTATGTCGGATCGATGATGGGCATACACCAGGTGTAGTACGAAAAGAAGATACATTCATGAGTTATACGGCATGTCTGTCTGCCGATTTCGGTGTACGTCCATCTCTCACTGCTCTTCCTGTTGCTGCTTTGAACACAGCATTTGGTTCTCACCGACGCAGACATCATCTTCGTGTCGTCTCCCGACACCACCGTGTTGTTCGTCATTGTGCTTGGGTGGACGAAGTCCTCGCGCTCCACGGTCGAGCCAAGGGCCGGCCGGGGAGCTTTCGCCAGCCTTTTGGCTATGGCCTTCCCGATCCTGCACAACATTTCATTTATGGGCGAGGTTGGTGAGGTTCGAGCGACCACTGAAACTTGTCTTCTGTGTCTTCCAACAGCAGGGAAGTCGAGGCACCGATATATATTGCCATTTTAAGTCAGATCAGTTCCCAGCAATGTGCAGCCAACAGCAGCCACAAATTACATAGTACTTACATATTTGAAAACACTGCCAAGCCCTTCGCATGGTGTGCTGCACTAGTAGAAAAACGTACTGGCAGCAGCAACTCGCCTCGGCTTTGTATCTTGCTTTCACTCGGCGGAAGTTTCAACAGACGAGAAATTGCAGTGCAACGTGATGCTGATGAAACCTGCCGAGGGAATCGCTGCCAACCAGCACCTCGACGCACACTCTTGAACAGCAAAGGGACGCTGACCCATCTACTTAACTCTGGGTAGATGGACAACATTGCCCTACAAATGGCTTGTGCGTAGTTTTATTTATTTGTGCAGCGAACCCAAACGCAGTCATGTCTGGCGTGGTCCCCACACAACAACAGGAGCTGAGTGCGTACACTACTTTCGGCGCCGACGCGGTGGACTGTGTAAAGCTCGTCTGACAGTGACACCTTCCTACAATTCATAGTCTACATCTACCCAATCACGCGCCGTCTGTGGGTTTCTTACCTATCCTCAACCCAGTTTCCGCATTTTGTCTTTGAGCTGTACGAGTTCTTCTGCCCACAGATACCGAAACCTGTGGCACTCATCGCTCTTTGCGGGCTGCCTGGGAAGAAACAGCTGACCGTCAGGACTCGGAGCTCCTTGCTTACCAAAAGAACAGCAGTATGCTTCAGATATGGTGAATGTGCGCGTACCGCGCGCAAAAAAAGTCGTTTCCGAGCCTTGTTAGACTTCTACTGCTGTGTTGTACCGATCCCTCAATCAAGTGAACCGGCACAAATTGCGCCGCTTGAACCACCGGTCCACCGCACCACATGCGTACAGCAGTAGGAAATCGTGACATGTTTACGCACGTAGATTCAAAAACTCTGTCTCGTCTCGGAAGCGCACTGCATACTGATTTATCTCTCAACGCCTGTGATGTTTCTGCGTTCGTCTGTATGCATTGGTAGCGTCAGGTTGGCTTGGCGTGGGCAAGGCAGTTTTTTTTGTATGACACTCACTCCAACCGGGAAAACTGACTGTGTATGCGCCGCAACTGCGAAGAAGAGTAAATGCGAAGAAGAGAGTGAGGAGAGAGGAGAGAGGAGAGACGAGAGGGAGACAAGTAAGAGAGGGAGGCGTCTCAACTTGCACCGCATGACTGGGAGAAGGGATGATCGATGGGACTCTACGGCAGAGTTTGGGTCTTCGAAAAGCCGTGCTGAAGGAATGATTTCACTCACTCTTTGCGAGTAGATGTGCTGGTTCGGAAGGTACCAGCGCGAGCCCAAACCCTTGTTTTTAGTCGTGGGAGATGGGCGTAGGGGAGGCATTTCCTACCGAACACATGGGCAGGATTTGCTAACCAACAGAGAGTACTATAGACATCAGATACCCGGAGGACATCAATCTGCCACCCGTCTATTCTGAACGCCTCGGACTACACGTTTCGTTTGTTGCGGGCGTACAAGCCGGGGTCACTCAGAATAATCTGGCGTTGCTTCTTTTTCAGGTTTCATCAGATCGACTAGGATCTACATAAGAGGTGTAACAACAACCACAATATCTTCTAGACTATGCCTGACACACGTACAGCACGCACACAAACGCCCCCACACGCTACAGGTCGCCGGACTCTTCGCACAACAACCCTGGGCACAAGCCGCGGCAAAAAGGTGTAGCATGTTCACCTCGAGAAAGCGCATCACCCATGAACCACACCAATGATTTCACATTCATTAATTCCGTTATTGCCATATACAGCTGTACAGCTCCTTTTGTCGCCGGCAACCTCCCATGTCTTCACAACGCATTAAACCTTTCGATGGTACTGTAGCGACGACCAATATTTTCAGAACGAGAAACACAGCACACTGGCGTGGGTGGAAATCAAGTCTTATCGCGACTGGACGTGTCGCCACGAAACCCATACCGCGTCAGCAACCCACAACTCTTTCGAACGCAAGGTTAAGACGTACACAAACACATGTTGGTCAGCAAATCATCTTGGGGCGGCGGTTTCACTACACACAATGGCAATGGCCATGTCCGATTCGAAACACCGGCTTGGCCGGCTTCTAGACAACAACGTTGAAACGTTCGTTTCGATGCAAGAATGGTAGGACACATCCACTCTATTGAAGAAGTCAATTCTTCATGTGGATGTGCCTCCACCACAGCCAGGCGGCGCAATCGGCGATGAACGCCGAGAGCTGAACCGACACGCAAAACGCGGCCGCGGACATCCTACCCCGGTGACCGTAGGCCCTCACCACCTTCTTCCCAGCACCCCCTTCATTTCTAGGGCTCAATGTTGCCGTTTGTGGAGGACTACCACCCTCTGACTCTGAAGACGGTTTCAGGTCAGGGAGCGGGAACACGATGTCCCAGAATATGACGAGCACGCCCCCGACACAGAGCAGAAACGTGTTGAACGGCCAGCAGGTGCCTCGCATGGCGATGTAAACCACCTGCGACGGGGATTCCAGTTTCGAGGGTGCCGGCATTACTTGTGGCTCGGAAGATCCGTGGATCGTGTTGAGACATGCAAGAGACCCTCGTGACAACCGTTTAGGGGTCGAGGACAACAAATGGACAACATCTCCACAGGGAGTCGAAACCGTTGCTGAGTCCGCCATGTCGAGAAGAGCAATGTCGTCGTGTTCCAACATGGTTTTCACAAGAAGCAATCGCGAGTTGGTCATGGATCGCGAAATGCCGCCCGACAACCCCCCCCCGCCATACTCAATAGTGTATTCGATACGCACCGCCTCGTGGAACACCCCGGAAACGACGAAGGTCGCGAGCACGGCCGGCACCCATGTCCACTTCGACGGGTCCCCCGCTACCTCTGCTGTTGCTGTCGACAACTCAGCAGAAGGAGGACTCTTGGTCCCATCGACGCCCTCGTCGCTGGTGCTGCACAGCTCTAGCATGGGCCAGTGGACGCACGTGGAAAGCCAGCGGTGCACGGGGGTGGACCACATCCGGAGGAAGTCCCGAGGCTCGTCGAAGAGCAGCCACCAGCACCCTGGAGAAAAAAATGTAGTTCGCGTTCGCGCGGCCACAGGAGGAGGACGAGAACAGTGTGGGAAGACGGGGGCGGGTTTCAAGCGACAAACGTGCGAGGTCGCGACGGTATGTTTGGCTTGCTGAAATGAATTGACACCGACTGAGGATCGGGTGCGAGCATTTGCCACTTCTCACCGGGGTGTTGCGATACAGCTACAGCACTATTAGCAGCGAGCACAACTACCCTTAGACCAGGCCATGTGTGCGTTTGTCAGCGGCTTCACCATCTGTTCTGTCTGTCTTCCTCTCCCTGTCTCTCTCTCTCCGACTCTTTTGTGCCCTCTGCTTGGCGCTTCTCTCGTCGTTCTTCTCCCCCAATCTCTCTCCCATTCACATTTTCTCTTTCCCTCACCCGCCCCAACCCCCAGCCTCTTCGTACACCCTTGTTGTCTCAAAAAGTGAACCCTCACCGTAAAGGTTGCGATCGGGGAACCCCCACAGCTCCGCCATCCCGAGACAAATGCAGTGCCAAAAGGCGTAGAACACCATGAAGTGGAGAGCTGAGGATACGACTTTAATATAAAAAAATTGCAAGGGGGGGGGGGGGGGTAAAGAGGTGGAAGACGAAGTCGTTTCCGTTCGAAATCTAGTCAAACGCAAGAAACAACAAGCTACTCTTTCACAGGACTTGGTTCTGACATCCGACACATAACTTACTCGCGCGAAGAGTGGGACTATATTGTGCCCATTATTGCTGAGAATGGGACTATATTGTGCCCATTATTGCTGAGAATGGGATTATATTGTGCCCATTATTGCTGAGAATGGGACTATATTGTGCCCATTATTGCTGAGAATGGGACTATATTGTGCCCATTATTGCAGCTGAAGAGGTCCGCATTACCGCCACCACGATTCATCACACTTGGAAAAAACCAAATATTTGAAAAACTGAAGGGGTTTACATTCGTATCTTGGTCATCGCAATCACGCTCACTCACCGAACAGCATCCACAGGAAACAACCCAGCGCTACCAGCTGCCCCAAACCTGCTTGCAGAACAGGTTTAAGCGCGGGAGGCATGCACGTTATTGAGCTGGGGGACCCGTGGTCTGCATCTCGTCGGTGAGGTTTAGATGAATGGAGCAAGTGCAAGTAGCCGTCTCTTTTTCATGAGGCCGAAAGGACAACAACAACAATTACAGAATAAGGAATAAACTCAGCGTCCGCCGCTAGCAAGACACGCTCCCCCATTCCGGCCCACGGCGCAAGCACGTTGCCTCACACGGGGCGGGCGGAGACAAAACAAAAACAACACCCTATGCGCACCGCCAGCCAACCCCCCCCCCCGCTCCCGCCCCCCCGAACCTTACGACGCCAAACAAAAGGCCGCGTGTTTATGTACGTGTACCAGAGTCTTCCTTGTCGCCGCCCGCCAGCAAGGCGCTCCCGGCCGTCCAGGACGGCCACCCCGCTCCCCCGGCGGCCTCGAGCTCCGCCCAGCCGGCCGCCGCACCCTCCACCCAACCGGGGCTGACGGCGGAGAAGAAGAGTCGCAGGGACGGCGCGAGGATGGAGCCCACGACGCAGTGCGCGCAGAGGAAGGTGAGGACCGCGTGGAAGAACTCGGAGGCCGCGCGAAGGGGCCGGCTACGTCGGCGGGCGGAGACCTTCATGAGGCGAACCTGGTGGTGGGGTGGGCGGGCGGGGGTGGAGGTAGTTGTTGTTGTTGTTGTTTGCTGTGGTTGATGATATGGATAAGTGATTGTTGCCGCTGTCAACATTTCTCGAAGTCACGAAGGGGCGTGCCTCCTTAGCCATAATACAGCATCGTTGCAGGTTGCTTCAGCTGTTCGAATGCAAAGCATTGCAAGAACGCGGGCGCCTGAGGGAGACAGGGCTCCCTCCATTTTCATCGACCCCCCGGTGATGACCAAGCACCTCTGCTCTCCTCGCTACCATCACACTCCGGTGCACAACAAGCAGTTGCACGTCAGGCACTTACAGCACAATTTTGGGGGGAGTCAATCAGTCTTTGTCAGCAATCTTCCTATCGGAAAGGTTTCCAGCAGAGAGTGAGCCGTCAACCCAAGGGACACGTCAGTGCCTCCGTAAACACTCCGTTGACGGGGGGGGGGGGGAGGTATCAGAGCAAAGAAAAAAAAACGAAGACGACCTACCTCGCACACAAGTGAGGGAGACAGGAACAGGAAGAAGAGGTACTCGCCGAACGTCAAGGACCGCGGGCCGGCGGCCGCCGCCGCCGCCGCCGCTTCCGCGGAACTAGCATCCGAAGATGACCCCGCCGGAGAAGGAGGTGTTTGCGGCGGTGTGGCCACCGCCGACGCCGCCACAAAGGACGTGATCTTGAGGGTCACGCACGCGCAGAACAGGGCCAACCACAGCCCCGGCACGAGCCCCCACGCGGCCCGCCGTTGAGCCCACACGGCGAACGCCCAGACCGCGGCCGAGGGGAGGCCCACGGCTGCTACGTACGTGCCGACGGGGCGCCCCCCCCCGTCGCTCGAAGGCGCTGCTGTTGCAGTGTTGTCGGTGGTGGCCGGGGTCGTCCTCGGTGATAGGAGGGAGTGCAGCGGGTACACGAGGATGGATATCGACGCGACCACTCCCCTAACACGAGCGCGCGCGCGCGGGGGGGGGGAGGATGGGGTCGGGGGGGGTTGGAAGACAGCAATGGCAGCATCGACATAGATCTCGGGGGTTATTACGGTCTCTTGGATTCTACAGCAACCAACCTTGCAGGGGCACGGGGGTTGAAGCGGTCGGGTTGTTGTACCCGGCGAGGGGTGGCAGGCTGGCTCACGCGAGCGGGCGCGACGCTCGGGGAACCACGCCTTGGTAACCACCTCGATGTCGCAACGGAAAGATTCGGGGTACACTAGTTAGCGTTCTGTGTGTTCTTGGATACCGCAAGCTTTCCTCAGATGTCACCGCGTCGTTGCTCATTGTCGAGGATCTCTCGATACGGACGCCCGCGGGAATGCACAGGGAAACCGCCAACAACAACAACAACAACAACAACAGCAGCAGCAGCAACAATGACTCACATAGCGGCAAAGCCGGTCCCCATCCCCTCGAAGTGGTGCACGAGTCTGTCGATCGCCATGGAGCGGAAGGCGAAGTCCAGCCACTCAGCCGCGGCTACCGTTCCGTCCGCAGCGGGGACAGGGACCCCCGACAGGGCCATGCAGACGGCCAATAGGACCAGCAGGCTCGCCGTCCTGTGCCGTAAAGGGGTGGGCCGGCAGAGTGAGAGAGAGAGCAAGAGAGAGAGAGAGAGAGAGAGGCAGACAGGCAGACAGAGAGAGACAGACAGAGCGCTCAAATGGTGCCAGTCGCAGTAGCCTTTGCAAGGCTCTCCTACTGAGCAAATATGATGGATGATGCATGCAAGTTGGGTTAGGGTTAGGTTAGGGGTCTGCTTACCCCCTCTTTGTTCTTTTCCTTATTAACATAATTCCTCGCGAAGGCAGTCCGATGCTGCTGCTTTGGTCGGGTCTGCAGAATCGTCTTCCACCCTTTTGGTTGAAGGGAACACACGGCATTTCCTCCTGGAATTATTCTTCACGATGATACCGAGCCCTTCTTCAGGGTCGTTTTTCGTGAGGACCGCGCGATATTAGATGGCTGCGGCGTCCTGCAAGACTGGTTGAATCACGCGTGAATGTTTTCCTGTGCACACTCATCATTATTCGATTTCTCCGGAACGCACGGCGTGTTTGCTCAATTTAGCACCGAAGTGGGAAGCCAACGACAGCAATATTAGTAGTAGTTCAAACCCTTTGATGCTTTTCTCGTTGGCTCGAACGTACTTGTGCTCTGCTGCTGTAGATTGCCTTGATAGCAACAAAAACGATGCGGGATATCATCTACAGCAGTACGTACGGCAAAACATGAACATAGGGTGGTTATGCCATAATGGCGGACGTATCAGTCATGACAAAAGCGATTTGTGGCTAGATACCTCCATGCCGAAGAAGGCCGAAGCTCATCTACAGCAGTCAAGAGTTTACGAATGCGCCGTGAATACTTCAACCTCAAGGAAAATGGTAAATACCGTGCAGCCAACGGACCTGCGGCACGAGACCACAAGATTCCGAACAACCAACACGCCAACACCAAAAAATCTCCCCGCAAAAAACACAAAATCGCGCGATGGTCTTTGTGTGTGCTGATGTGAACATGGGTATGCTGCTGGGGAAGGGGAATCCGCAAGACGCTGGCGTATCTTCGCGCCTGCTGCCTGCCCAGTGTGAGCTGTTATCTTTTCGTGCCCTGCAGCAGTTAGGCGTTCGGCGATGACACCCTTCTGCTTCAACCGGGCCGTCGGCGGTATTCCGCCAGAAAAGTCACAAGACGAGAAAAATAATGTGCGCTTTGCCGCCGCAACATTAGAATGACCAAACAGACAGAAGGGACACCCTACAACTACCGCACACCACGCACTACTCGCCAAGCAAGGCTACACAGAGCGGCACTAGAAAGAAATCGGGCAGCGCGCTGCCTGCCTGCCGGGAACATGGTCGGCAATATCATGCCGGTGCTTACCGGTGAACATGAAATCCTCGACGCAGCGCATGGAGCGTGGGTAGCGTGCTGGTGAGCGCCTCGTACTCTGGATACAAGGACGGATCATCCAGAAAAGTGTTCTCCCTGATCGGCCGGGGTGGGCGAACAACTGCTGCTGCCATCCTCGTCGCCAGGCGCGTTCGACGGTGGAGTCTGCACCGGCATGCGGACCCGAACGAGAAGAAGGCGGCAGCAGACGTTAGCGAAGAAAATATGGCATGAAGAAACGGAGACTTGGAGTTGCTCAAGAGACGGAAATCGCCTTGTTCCTCCGCATGAAACGGCTTTAGTTTCGCCGCATCGCCGCATGCATGGCATGTGCTTGCCGCTGTGCGCCTGCTGTGCGCCTGCGCTCTGCACCTGCTCAACAGTGTACGGGCCCTATGAGCGGCGACGCCCACCATGAATCTCCCTTTGCTCCTCCTCAGCAAGTGTTCCTTGAAGACCTCACCCTAGTGATCGATGTTTCCCTCATGTTGGCCTTCACCGCCGCCATTCACCTCCTCCGACAGAAGCTGATCACTGTCGCGACTCTCGCCCACGCCCTCTCCGTCAGTCTCATGGTTGTCACCGTGGGGCACTATTTCGAGCGACACTTGATCGGCGACTTGGACGGCGTGGAAGACCTCGTGCGGCGTCGTAGGTCAGGGCGACAAGGAGCGGGGGGGAGATGGTTCTCCGGATGGTCCAGTGCTGCGTTGGTGTCGGCCGCAGCTGTCCTTCTGCTTGGTGCGTACATGACGGTGATCGAGGCCTTGGTAGCGCTTTCCTCCTTGCTTTTACCTGTGTTAGTATGCTGAACTCAAACCCATTGATCGGCTGTGCATCTAGAACAGTGTCTATTACATACCAGTAAGCGAAAGGCCTGCCAAAGGACAACTATAAAGGGTGGACACCTACATACGTAAGTAGTAAGGGACATCCAGGGATCGAACGTCTGCTGAAAACGGGGGTGCATACCTCACCTATTGGTGAACGTCAGCCACGCATACATGTTTTGGGGGGCATTCCTGTCCGCGACACTAACCCAGGTGCTATTTTCTGTCTGTTTCTTGTAACACGCAACGTCAAACAACACAGTCCTTCGGTTTTGGCACTGCAGCAGAGGAGGCGTCGACTGCATCGTCGGTGAATCCGCCCCGGTCCACTACCAGTGCAAAATTAGGCGCCTTCGGTTCTTCACGCCAGTTTTCTCGACGACGGTTGTGTTTGTGTACCTGTGCATTGGTGAGTGATGGAGAAACGAACGGATCCCACGTCAAGTCCACTTCACTCGTTTGCTGCCGTGTTCAGTATGCAGCTCGCCCCTTCTTGTAGTATACCCCAATTTGTTTCTCCCCGACGAAAAAAGCTCACCATCGACGGCGAGTGATCTTTTTTCCTCTGCCGTTCGCTGAATTCGCGCCAGCCTTTCCCCAGAAGCAACGAGGTGGAAAACATGTCTTTTATACCCACGTGAAGTACACAACAGTAGCTTCTTGGAGTGTCTTCTACACGTCCGTATTTGGTAGAAATGCCCGAGCAAATCACCACGAGAATAGCACTACTGTAGTCCTACAGTACTGTTGCGCAAGCTATTTATGTATGTACTTGATAGGTTGTTGAGGATTTCGATCCGACATGAACCTTCCACACTGATCGATGTCGTCTCTTGGCACTGTCATGGGGATATACGCGCAGGCGCAAGACTCAATGCCTTGCTTGGGGGAAGCGTTCTTCACCCCAAGGGTGGAGGCTACGCGTTAGCCGTGCTCACCAGTCCCACTCTGCTGTCGACGCTGTGCATCTCCGGCTGCGCCTCGGTTTTGCTCTACGCCATCCTGATAGAGGAGCAGGTGCGTCCTCATGCGTTGCTATTTACCAGCTGCTACCTGCTGTGTATACCGAGAAATCGCTGCATTCAAGGAAAACACGCCGATCAAGTGCGTGATGCATGTTCTAGGAATATCGACCGCACCAACCCCGGGGCTGTGTGCGGTTCTGCATATTCGGACGGTATCTCGGGGGTTCGTGGCAGCAGCCCAACAGACAGCAACGACCTTCTTTTCACCCCTAAACAAAAATCGAGTGCTGGGGAGAGTGTTGGCAAAAACATAATAACACAAGGTGTAGGCGGGAAAAGCCCCGAATCTCGACCATACCCGGCATCGTTTACTTGGACGAAGATGAGAATAGCTTGATAACACCGTGGTGCGCGTTTTGTAGCAGGCACTCCAGTGTAGAATACTTGTCTTCACGGCGATTCCTGCAAACGCGAATGATGGATATACATTCTACTCCCTGGTTGAGGAAGTTCTACAACCAAGCGGCTAAATCGTACCTACGGATTCTCGGGTTGTTTCGGATCGTGTTCCTCGATCATCCGCTCCGTCCATGCCAGCACCCCCAACAACACCGTCGTCGCTGCCCGATCCCCACCCATTCCGTTAACGACGTTGTGGTTTTCTCTCCCGAAAAGGCTAACAGTGGCAGTGGCCTCGAACGATCACAGCCGCGGGAATACCACGTCGACACTCCCGGAGCTCCAAGATCTAGGACAGCCAAGCGGACGAATAAACGGAAACCCGCGCCGGCGGCACCCTCCGACCCCGGCTGGAACGGTCCCCCCCAAAACTACTCATCACCGATGAGCCTTCCGCACAGTTTCCGCTACGACACCCGGCCATCCTCTGTGCCGTCGCCGAGCGAGGTTAGCGGGTCCGCCCCCGGGTTCGAAACCTCACCGCTGTCGTCGTCTGTTCTCGTAGGGGGCAGCCGGCCGTTTGGGGTTGTAAGTGATTGCGATGGCGGCGTTGCTGGTGGTCTCAGCAGAAACGAATACCCTACAGAGGACCAAGACCGGGTTGTGCGTTCTCCGCCTTTTCCGTCGTTGCCGTTACGGTTTGCGGGGAACGGTGGGGGCGGCGGCGGAGGCAACAGAAGCAGTGGCCGAGGCAGAGCCGGGGGGGATACCGGGTGGACCTCGTCTTCGTCGTCTTCTTCGTCGCCGTCAATGGGCGGGGTGGACGGGAGAGGGAGAACGGGAGACGGAGTTGATGGCCACCGTAGAGACGGACACGGTGCCAGAAGTAACGGCAGCAGTAGCGGTGACAACGGCAGCGGAGGCGGCGGCGGTGGTAATAGCAGTGGCAGTGGGGTGCTGGGAACGAGGTTGACAACGGCGACGTCCACGTCACTCGTCGGGAAGATTCCTTCTCATATAGGGTCTTCGCCATACCCGTCCGTATCTCCTTATTCTCCCGCGTGTACACGCTCTCCCGCACCTCGGCTGCAGAAGCCTGCCTGGGGGATATCCTTTCCCTTGACTAGTAGTAGTAGTAGCAGCAGCAGCAGCAGCAGCAGCAGCAGCAGCAGCAGCAGCAGCAGAAGCACCAGGCGGAGCCACAACAGCAGTGCGAGTGGTAGTAGTAGTGATGACAACGGCGGTAGCCCTTCATCTTACGGCGAGGGACGGGACGGCGGCGGACGCACAAAGCACGGGGACAATGCGCGCGGCAGCAGCAGAGAGGGGGAAGAGTGGAGCACCGTGAGTGGCAGCCAAAGACGGCGGAGAACGAGGCCGGCTCCGGCTGCGCGAGAATCACGGCAACCGTTCGGGGATCGAGCGGCAACCTCAGGTGGTAGTGAGCCCTTTGACGTACGTCGTGGCGAATTCGGTGGAGGTGGAATTCGTGCCGGTTTGGGCACGGGAGGCCTCCGCCGTCGTCCACAGAGGTGGGGAGCGTGAGAAACAAAAAAAAGACGCCGTCCAACCGAATCTGTAGGCGACGACAATTTGATCTAACTTGGTTCAGCAGTGTACAACAGTACGAAGGAGAGCTTGGACAGAGGATAATTGTGTATGGCAACTCGACGAGTATCGTCGCGTTGCCTGTCTGAAGCTTTCGATTTTTTCAGCGGGTAACAATCAAGGTAGACACCAAGAAGACAAAGCCATAGGTGTTTAGAGTGCGAGGAACAGCTGCATGTGCCGGCAACGCCTACGGAGACTGGGCGATCTCCACAATGCGTATCACGACGAGACCCGAAATCCCGTGGTCACAGCTGCGATGTGACACTCTGGCTGTACAGGTTTCCTAGCCGGTCTCATCCTATTTCCCAACCGTGGAGGAACGGAAGTGCTGCGCCACCGTAGCTGTCGCGCTGAGAAGAGGCGCGGAGTACTAGCCCAACGATCACAAGGAACACCCGCACTACAGTAGGACATCTTGCGCGGTTCTTTTGCGTCCATGTAAAAAAACCGCGCTCCAAGAGCTGTCCCTTTCCCTTGCGGGTGGGGTTTCGGCCTTCTCTCGCCAATGGCGGGGTACCGGGTGCATTACCCCGCGCGCTGTCGCCCACCGAGGAGCAAAACAAACTGGACAACGGCAGTTGGCACAGTTCCTAACCCAGCCCGAAGACCTGTCAACTTAAGAGACTCTAGGCGTGCCCCGCCCCACACGAGCATGTCGTGCATGGAACCACAAGCGTAAAATGTTTGTTGGAGCTTGTGTGAAGTCGCGAGACCTAGAGCGGTTTGAATGCCGCTTGTGCCCGTTGCTCAGCTTGAAATACACTCACCAAGCAAAAGAGATCACACCACGTGATCCGTTCCAAGCGCATGATTGCGTTGTCTGACGTCTGTTCTCGGAGTCTTCAACGCTGCCACACGCATCAATAATACCTAGTAGCGATAGAAACCCCCCCCGCACGTATTTCGTCGGACCCAACGCCGTGAAATGCATGGAGGAACCACACAAAAACTACCAGTTCAAGAAAACCGGAATCAAAACAACATGGTCCCAAAGTTCGCCAATGAACACGAATGCAGCAGAAGAGATTCCCACCGCGGACGCAAGGTTTCCCACAGCGTGGATGCCATCAGGCTTATGCGGCAGTTTCAACACATCCCACGGTCAACGCTGGTTCGTCACATGTACGCACACGCCAGAGACAAGGGTCGCAACTGCACTGACCAAGCTGTTGCGCCGCACACGGCAGTTCCACGAAACAACACTTTCAGAGGAACCAACACAAACACACGGCTTTTCTAAAAGATTGGCATAGGAAAAACACCCGAAACACACAAGAACAGCAAAAGGTGCCAAACAAGCCAACCAAATAAATTCATTCCAACAAGCCTCTCCTCCCTGCACCCTACGGCACGTTTCAGGTGCTGTCGTCTTTTACGTCCACCACGGGAAAAAACACACAAAGAAGCCAAACTACTTGCCCTTATTCGCCGGGTTGTCCGGGTTGTTGTACGCCATTTGCGCGTACATAAAAACTTCTGACATGAGAGTCTGGGCGGGGAGAACGTGCGCCCACCACTTTCTCACCGTACCGTCCGCTGCGGGACGAAAAAGAACCGAAGCAAGGTCGAGAGAACACAATACGGGGGGCGGAAGGGGGAGATACAACGGACAAGTTATTGAATCATACAAAACACACACAGGGAGAGAGTGAATGCGCCCGGCGAGTGTATTTGTCGTCATGTGGGGGCAAACCCCCCCAAATGGGGGAGATACCCTATTGGATTAGGCGTGCAACAATCGCAAGGGGCGATACAGAGATAAACGAACAAAGGGCATGTGAACAGAAGGAGTCGTCCTCGACAGACGTTGGGAGATCGTACCCATTACAAAGGGGATCTCCACAAGGAGCACAAAAAATAATACAACTACTGGAATGCATAGGTGGTTCTCTTACATGAATTACTTGTTCAGACATGTCAATATATACTTCCTCCGAGCCATCCGATAAGCTCACTTAGCACATAATGAGGAGTAGCGTGTGCCCATTTGGGACTTTTTCAAAACGGTTTTTTTCATTGCTTTCGTGAAGACCTGGAGAAGGACTCTAAACCGAGGTCTTTTCTCAGAGCTCAATGGTGCACCACCTACACCTATAGTAAGCAGGGGTAGTCGGCCGTGAAATTTTTTTATCCACCGGTTGGTAGGGTCAAAATGTTTTTTTTTTAACTGTTTTTTTCTTGGTTCTCTGGACATTTCGGAGAACCGCGCAAAACGGTCGTTTTCGCGGAGCCGACCAACACAGCACCTGCAGGACCCACAGCAGACAGTCCACCCAAGGAAAGCAGAGGCACCTGTGTAGGTGGTGCTATGTTGGGGTCTCTGAAACGACCTCGGTATTGGGTGATCCTCTAGAACCTCACCAAAACAGTGACAACAAACCGTTCGGACAAAATCGAATTCTGGATCGCGCTACACCGCTTTTTTCTCCAAACCGGCTTATCTTCCGTAGAACACGAAGAATAACCCCGGGGACGATAACATGCTAACCCCTGGTCGTTTTTTTTTTTTTCTCAATCGCGTTACTTATTACACGTTGACCATATGTAGGCAGTTTCATGGTCATATGGCCTATATTGGTCATGCAAATGAGCTTTTTTAAAGTGAGCTTATCTGGTGGTTTTTGGAAAGTGAGCATATCTGATGGCTCGGAGGAAGTATAGGTCTGTGAGTCTTGTTTTTGGTTTGGGCATTTCATAGTTTTCAGTTTTAGGGACGCAATATCGACGTGCGCCGATACACAAAAAAACAACAGGGACGGGGGTCACGGGTCAGAAGGGAGTGCAGCAAGGGGTACGCCGTTCGCGGAGTGTTGCTTTCAAAAAGAAAACCGGTCAAAAACAACGCGAGCCCCACCCGTTAGGGCACAGCATCGAAGCGCGTTCTAGGTATTGTAACCACCCTTCTCCTGTTGCTCATGTTGCGACGAAATTTCTGCACACACGAAGCGCTCACCGTAAGTCGCTTGCACCATTGGCCAGCACGCCTCGTACTTATATACTCCCACGATCTTTGTGTCCGGGCTTGCGCTCGTCAGCTAAACATGCAATAAAAAATAAAATAAAGCAGGAAAATGGAGGACAAGATGCACGATGTATTCAAGGCGGTGAAACCGAAAAGTAGATTCCCAGCGCGGACAGAGGCATCACCATATCGGTAGAAAGTCCTGGGGAGCGGGGGGTGCTGGGTTTCTCGAGCTTAGAGACGCCCAGAGAGATGCAAGATAAATAGCGACGACTTGTCACCTACTCAGCAGTACGAGCGGACCTGAAACATAACGGCACAATTGCGCCGAAAGCGTGGATTGCCTGTACAGCTTGACACCCGAGTCTCGCGAACGCTAAACTTACGCTCAGAACAAGCCCCTCGTATGCCCGTCGCTGGATTGCGCCGATTTTCTCCACGAAACCCTAAACAAGCCTCTAAATTTGCCACCGTTACCGCACTCATTTGGGAGGCCCAGAGGGACTTGGGCTTGACCACCCCCCCCGGACCTCATAATATTCGAGTGGCAGGGAAGAAGAGAGACTACATAGACGGGGCACAAAATAACAGACGGGATGGGGCAAAACCAAGGCGTCTCACCACATTGGATTGGAGTCTTCGTAATACATCCCTGTCGTCGCGTCCCCCCACGCGTGGCACAAACACGCCCCCGCCGATGGATCAAGTACAATTAAGGGGGGGGAGGCGAAAACGACAGCAAGGGCAAGGGCAAGAGCAAGGACGACAGCCCAGGGGGGAGGGCACGTAGAAAACATCAGCCCAGAGGAGGGGACGGGGGGGCGCGCCGAAGGAAAACAAGAAAACGAAGGAGGAACAAAATAAAGACGGTTCAACTCGAGAAAAAACAGCTCAGACGGGGCAACACGACGTGTGAACACATGCTGTCAGAAAATTCAGGCTATTCAAATAGGCACCATCTCCAGGATGCTGAGCTACAACACATGCGTCCGTACCCCCTACACAACATTCGTTGCCCGCCAGAGATTCAACGACGGAAGATAGGGCACGACACCCCTAGCTTTGGTGGAAATAGTCAGGTGCCAATACAACCCCACGAAACATAAAACGCGGAACGCACAGCAACAGCAGCAACAGCATCAACAAACGCCGCTTTTTTTTTCTCACTTTGCGGCCGTACTGTGCCCGCCGTCGAGGGGGTTCATGATGCACTTGACCTCCTTGATAGTGGGCATGAGCTTCTTCATGACTCTCGTGTTAGCCTTGAAGACCGAAGTCCCCTTCGCGAGGCCCCACACTGGAACGCTCATGGTGCAGTGCACCACTCTGAGAGACAGGGGGGTCGGTGGTTGGGAGACGCGGTAGGGTTGGATGAGAGTCGGAACAGATTTGCTCGGAACAGATTTACCCTTTGTGGGGACCGCAACGAAAATATGTCCAGGCAGCGTGAACCACTACCTCCCTAGGTAAGAAATCAAGCACCTCGCCGCTGGAGGTCTTTTTGAGGTTGCCACCTGGACCACCGCAGGGCCACCGGCCTCTCTCCTCTCTCCTCTCTCTCGCAAATTTGAAAAACGTGTCCCGCTCTCTGCTCAGTCCTTCCGTCATCAGTACTGGTCAAACTCCCACGGTTCGCTTTTACGTGGTCACCGCAGATGATTCATCGAAAGAAGGTACAAAAAATAAAAAAGGGAAACCAAGGATTAAAAGAACCACCCCCACAAACGCCATATATGCCGCGCAAACGGAGAATCAAGGCTCCAGGATGTCAGACACGTCGCAGGAGGACGGCCGTGTATGACACCTTGCATTGTAAACAAATATTGCCGAAATCAGACGTTGAGGTGTTTCCGCAGGCACATAGGATTGGCGCTTGGACTTGCAATAAGCGACCGAAAGTTGATCGTACCAAGAACCGCAGGACGTTGATTTCTAATTCGTCCTGCGACTCTGGCGGGTGCGTCGACCATGAATGTGGTTGTCGACTGTTGGTACAGCAGAAAGTACCCCGGGTGGACGGGACGAGACCAAACAAAGGTCAAAAGACAGCACGTTAAAATAGCACCGCCATCTCCATTAAACTTTCTGATCGCCCGATTCCCCAGATCAGGGGAGGACTCGAAGACCGTAATGAGCGACGAAGGCGGTGCTGCTGGAGACACAAGGTAAGTACTGTACTGCTGCCCATGCCGCAAACGTATGCTACTGCAAGCACTCGGTAAGATGCATACGATTACGGTCGGCGGGCGGTATAGAAAGACGCAGCCGCAATCAAAACAGGTGGCTCCCCAGAGCGTGGAATTCTGCTGCAATGTGTACTGTACCCGGAGCCGCTCTCCTCTGGTACAAGTTTCATAGACAGGCTACCTAAACGCTCTCTTTACAGAACAGCAGGCGGCGGCGGAGGTTCGGCCGGCCTCGATAGGCTTTGTGGCAGAGAACAACCATGTGTATATGTAATGAGGTCGAACGGGGGTAGCGTGAGACAGGAATGACGACGGCAGTGTCGTGATGGACACGACACACACGTGCAGTTATTTGCTTGCCCTCCAGCAGATACAGCAGGCGCGAAGACCAAAGGACACTCGGCAATCTACGACCGATTGCTACATCTTGTTGCACACAGGCAGGAGAGCACGGCGCGGAGATATCATGTCCTCACACCCGGGACACAACGCGAAATCAGTCGTCAATCGCACCTATTGACCAACCGGAAGGATAAAACACTTGAGAAGCTGTCCCGCCAAGGCCACAAAGCACAGGGTGACGATGCACGGCACGAGCCACCTGCTACTGCAGCAGAGCAGAGAGCGTCTCAAGCGTCTCCAGCAGGGGGACGGCAGAGGAGAATAGGGTACGTTCACATAGGCCCACATGATACGGCGGCATCTGATCAACCATTAGATCTGTTCTTCGTGGTGAACAGCACTGCTGTAGGCCCACAGCCCACACACGTCGGGCGGATTTCGGCGAGTCCGTCAGCATCGCCGTCGACAGGAGGAACGCATGCAACCTTATCTCATGACGAGCGCTCTTGGGCCTTGACCGACAGGGGCTGTCTACCGCTGGAAGTCAGCCATATAGGTAGGCATATGATACTTGACATCGCTTTGTTGTTGTGTTATACAGAAAAGTAACACAGCAGTCTGACATATCCTTCCCGCCATCTTTGATGTGTTGGGTGCGTCTGCTGCTGTTGTTGAGGAGGCTGGTGTGAGTGCAGCTCCCCTCGTTGCAGCTCCACCCCCTGTGCTACGTTGAGGAGAGTGGCGGTTGGCTGCGCACCATGCAGCTGCTGTGTTCGACACCTCCCTCGCCCAAAGGCAACGCCAGTTGTATTACTTGTAAATAGCAGGTTCCTCTCCGCCGCCGCCCTTCAAAACCATCCCGCACACATGCTCTTGACCACGTCTACCGAAAGACGACATGCTATCCCGCAGAGGGCACTATGCATGTGCGCTACAGCAGCACTAGCCATCCTTTGCCAGGGCGTAGTCGGGTGATGGATGCGCCTTGTCGCCACAGAGGGTAGTACATCGTATTTTCAATATACTGTAAGTATAAGTCTATCTATCCAACTTGCTCTTTTTCCCTTGTGGTGCCCGCTCTCGTCAAGACACACACATCCCTGACGTCTTGCGACGGCATGGTTGCTCCCGCCCGCCGCGGGTGTGCTACACCTGTCATTGGCATCTAAACGCGCACACCAAGGCGTTTGTGGTTGGCATCGGTGTACGGGACACGGGGTGCGGTGCAGCATGTGATCGGTTTATGTACGCGCTTGCTGACTTCGTATGCGCAACTGCACCGCAGCTGTACTTGCTATGCACGTAACCTACGTAGTATGTTCCAAATGTTCCTAGCCAAGGTTGCTGCAGTGCGTATTGCTTAGTATCATTCTCTGTTTTGGCGTCACAACAAGGAAAACTCATCATGTTATTTGTATGCGATGTATATGATTTTTTCACCGATAGCCAATTTATGTCCGAAACAACGATCGTCCCCCACACACGTGGTCGTTCACGAGGAAGGCGAGCCCCCCCCCCCTCTCTTTCCACACCGGTTAAACATGTTCTCCCTTGCGGGACGCGCTGTGAGTGCTGTTAGCCAGATCGATGCCAATTAGAGGAACTCACACACCTTGCCGTTTGAGCCCGCCGTCTCTCGGGCCTCAACCACCTACCTCTACGGATAAGCACTAAAGCGACAGGGGGATCTTGCGCCGTTAGCCCACGGAGGACGCCGCCCCTCCCGGTACTACCGCCTCGTCGACCCCAAACGAGCGGTGGGGTAAACGGAATCAGATGGCACCGAACAACTGACGTACGTACGCTGCGCTTGTTTTTTACCTGCCTGAACACCCCTCCGCCCCCCCCCCCCGCCATTTTCGGCGACAGCTATAAAAAGCGCGTCATGATGGCCGATGGCCGGCAGCAGCAGCAGCAGCGGCAGCGGCAGCGGCAGCGGCGACGACCCTGCTTCCGGTCCGTTCCGGCGCACCGCATCATCGGCGGGGGCCTCGGGAGGCGGTACGACCACGCCGCCCTTCTTAGCGACCACCGCTTTGACGATGGCGTGTTCGATGACGACCAGTACAACCTTGACCGTCTGCCGTCCGATGACCATCAACGACGGCAGCAGCAGCAGCAGCAGCAGCAGCAGCAGGAGCCGCTAGGACGGCCCATCGGCACGGGGCACGCGCGGTTGGTATCACCCCCGCTTGGAGCGGGCATGCCGCCGCCCCCACGTTCACAGCCAGGTCAGCGTGAAGTGCAGCAAGTAGCCGGAGGTTTAGGGGCAAGGCCAGGAGAACGCCCACGTCACCGACAGCCGCACGAAGAGGAGAAGGAGGAGCGTGGAGCAGCATTAGCGCTACTACCACCACCACAGCCACCACCACCTCTTGTAGGAGAGGTATCGGTACCAGGTGCGGAGGACACAATCCCTCAGCCGCCGGGCGGGATTAGAGTTGAAGACAGCACAAACAACAACGATAACAATAGCCACAACGGTAGGATCCGACCGCAGCCAGCATCATTGCCACCGCCGCCACCGGCAGGAAGGGGCGGTGGCGACCCCGCCCTCGGGTTCAGGGCAAGAAGAAGGGGTGGACAAGCTCCAGCAGCAGCAGCAGCAGCAGCAGCAGCCGGTGGGTGGGGGGGTGCATTAGAGGCGTGCCCTCCGTGGGGCCGCTCGGGGGGCTCCTCCGCGCAAGGCCAACAACAGCAGCAAGGTATGCCGTCGCTTACTGGGGACGGGAGCGGCCGGGTCGCGTCGCTGACGAGCCTGTGCCTCGAGGCGATGGTGGCGGCCTGGGAGTCTCACGGCGTGACCAGCGGCGGGGGCGGCGGCGGCGGCGGCAGGGGGGGGTACTTGCCCGGGGCGTACCACATGCCTCACGAGCTGTGCGCGCGGCTGCTGCGGCTGCTGGTGTCGTCCAAGAAGCTCACGGCTTTCACCCTGTCAGGTAGGTTGTCCACCGGCGTCACGTGTGCGCTGCAGCAAGAAAGGCTTGTTTTTCTGTGTGCCTCTTTCGCTGCGGGGGGTTGGCAAGCCCGAGGTGCAGCAGTGTTGAGAGAAAGGACGTGGGGGGACGCCTTTTGCCTAGCGTTTTCTGTTGTGGGACACGGGACTGGAGCGGGCGGTTCCAACACATGTCGCCGTCCTGCTTGAGCCATCTCTTCCAACATGCTATATGGGCTTACTTCACGTGAAATGTAGTTCTGGGCTGGGCGAGCTTTGCTACGTCACGGGCTCACCGGCGGGATTTTGACCCTTGGCCCAAGAACAGAGTGGCCCCAGAAAAAAGTGCATCCCCCCTCCCCCCCCCCTCCCCCCTCTCGACAAGGATTGCACGGAAGCTGCGCAACAGCCTCACAGTCAATGCGTCATTCATACGCGTGTACATGCCTCCAACATTCTGCGTTCCGGAATACGCCAGACGGGAGCAAGATGAGCTTCTTCCCTTGCTCTCCTGCTCTCGTCTTGATTATCGTCCCCCCCCCCCCCTTTTTTTTTGTTGGGGTGCTCGCCCGCTCTTTCGCATGCCACGGCAGGATTCTTGAGCCCCGCCGCCTTGGAGGTGGACCTCTCCGGCTGCTCTTACGTCCCGAAGAGCGTCTTCAAGCAGCTGGGCTTCAGCTGCCCTCGGATCGTTCACCTCAACCTCAGCATGTGCTCGCAGGTGCGCGTGCCCGCGGTTTCGGGTGGTTTTTGTGTGTCCGTGTGAAGGCGAATTGAAACGGGGGCCGTTGTTGTTGGTTGCTGTGTTCGGTGCTGGGGAGAAGCGACTTCAAAGTTGCATGAGCTCGGGATCGAGGCGTTGATGTTCCTCGGACAGTTTTTGCTGTGTGTGGTTTCAGGCTGCTGATAAATTTAAGTCACAATATTCGCAAGATCGGCAGTGGGCCACTGGTGATGTCGTGAAGCCTCCTCAGGGTGCGTACGTGTGTCGAAGGGAAGTGCCAGGGACAGGTACGTAGCTTGTTGCGATATTCCTTCTCTCGGCTGCTGGGTTCCCAGATTCCCAGAGCGACGGGAAAAAAACCAACACCGGCACCTACTTTTCGTTCATTCCTACTATTTGCCTGAGTCGCCTCGCCAACGCCTGGCCCACACGCGCGCAGGTGAACAACGCCATCGTGCGGAGCGTGCTGCAAGGCTGCTCGGCCCTTCGGCAGCTCTACCTGGACGGGTGCAGGCACGTGACGGACGCGGGCTTCCACCTCCAGCAGTCGCCTTTCTACGTCCTCCTCGGAGCCGTTTCGCTCGAGACCATCAGCGTCCAGGGCTGTCCGCAGGTTGGTGCCTTTTTGTTGTGCGGTGTGCTGTTTGATTTTTTTTTTGCAGTGCTGTTGTCGGTTTGTACTGTTGACCAATCGGTCATCTACGTTTGTTCTCGGAGCCGCCTCCCTTCCCAAAACAGAGGGGTGTCGCAGGTTTGTTCGTTGCCGTTTGCGGTTCTCTGGATTGTGGTCCGCGCTCTGCTTTTATTTTCTTCTTCCTTTTTGCGATCCGTTATGCTGTTCGCGCGGTTAGCCAATCGTTTGTACATCTCCCCAAAGCAGCGTTGAGGCGGGCCCACGGCAACCTTTTGTTGTGCTGCACAATTTGGGAGCTTGTGCGCTCAACATACCGATGCTCCGCAGCCCGCTCTGGGTGGGGCATACGTTTTCACATCATCACAACTCTCCAGCCCCAAAATTCTCGGGAGAGAAAGAACGGGTGCTCATCGGCTGGGCGGAAATCGCGCGCAACCAATCCTCCCCCTCAAAACACGCCGACTTCCGCCATGGCCTGCAACCCCCCCGCTTTGCAGGTGATGGAGCGAGCTTGTGCTCCACCTCCGCAAGGTGTCCCGCAACCGACCCCCCCCCCCCCCCCCCCCCCCC